TGACTTGTGAGTTTATTTTACGAATAATTTTATGCATATTTTTAGATTTACTTGTTTACAGTTGAATTTGGTTTATGTCGCCAGGATAATGAAATTCGAGCATATGGTGCAGGACTATTGTCCTCGTTTGGTGAATTAGAGGTATAAAATATTTGTAGTTTGAATGTTGAAATTTTATGGTCAGGGCCTATAATGAATATATATGTCACTTTATTCATTTAATAGTATGCATTATCTGATAAACCTGAAAAGAGACCGTTCGATCCGTCTAAAACGTCGTTACAGAAATATTATTTAACTGAATATCAGCCGGTTAGAATTAATAAGCTACATATAAATTTTTAGTTTATTTCAAGTCATTAATTTTTGTTTTTTGAAAAAAATTATCAAGGTCTATTTTATTGCCGATTCTTTTAAGGATGCACAGCAAAAAGTTCGTGATTTTTCAAAATCATTAGACCGACCATTTTCTGTAAGATATAATCCTTACACAGAATCAATTGAAGTGCTGGATACTCAGGTTTGCATCTTATATGTATGCATTATATTTTCGCATTTATTTATTAAAATTATCTTCTAAAAAAAAATTTTTAGGAGAAAGTTTTAAGATATGCACAAAGCATTAAAAATGATATGGTAGCAATGGTTGATACTTTAGGAAGGTTATAAGCTCATTATAGTATGCAAGTTATTAGTAAATATATTGCAACTAATTTAAAAAATATTAATTAGATATGTCTAAGTAGGATTTTATTAAATTGTTCTATATATATGTATATTGATTTTTATGATATTTTTTATATTGATTTTATTATTAAGCATTATTATTTAAGTACTCAATAAATAATCAATAGCTTTTGTAGCCGTCACAGTTAATATCCAGAAACGTGCCTTGTGCGAGACAAATCTAGCATACATTTTACATATTTCGCGCAAGTTATGCGGTAAGAATTCATTTTAAAATATATATGGTGCACCAAGTTACTTGTTATGTATACAATATTGGGCAAAATTTGTCGAATAACGGTAATTTGGCAAACTGGGGCAAATGAACACGTGCCACTTCGCGGCACGTGTTCATTTGCCCGGTTTGCCAAATTTGCCCAATATTGTATACTTATATAAAAATACAATTAAAATTTGCTTGAAGTTGTAAACTAACCAATGTAGTATATAAAAAATTATACAGTCGACTCTGGATATAACGAACCTTTTTATAACGAACACACTATATAACGAACTTTTTTTAAAAAATTTATTATAGGTTCGGTATATAAAATATAATAAATTACTATATAATGAACTTTTTAAAAATTTTTACTATAAGACTCGTCAGTTCGTTATAAACAGAGTTGACTGTATATAGCAATAATATTTAAAATAGTTAACTAATAGCTTACCAACAAGATTCAAATTTATGTTTAGTATTAACCAAAACTAATTTTGTAGAAATTTATTTTGTATTGCAACAAGACATAAGGTTTATTTGTTGTAATTAAAAAAAAACTTATATGTTAATGCTGAAATAGTATAGCCACAAATATTGACTTAGTACAGTTAGACCTCTCTAAATGCACACCCTCGGAACCATAGTAAAAAATTTCAAAGTGTGCGCATTTAGAAAGATTAAAATCTATAATTGTTATATTGCTTGGAACCAAGCAGAGATGTGCATTTAGAGAGATTTTTTATATAGCGTGCATTTAGAGAGGATGCATTTAGAAAGGTTTGACTGTATTATTAGTACTAAAAGTAGTTAAGTTAATAGATTTTTTTACAGAATATAAGAATTAGATTTTATATTATTGTTAAACAATAGTTAATGCATCAAAACTTTTAAGGTTGTTGATTTATTTAAGATTTGAATAATATAAAAACTTAAAATTAAAATTTTATATTCTAAAATTATTTTTTTTTGGTATTAAGGTAACCTTTTGGTCATGTATACTTTTATTGTGTTAAAACAATCATTGTACATATTTGGAGGTATATCTAGTCATACTTGTGCTTTTTGAGTATCTATTTAATAGTCTGCCTATTACTAGGATTTATACTAGTTGCTATATCTGCAATTCAACTAGAGGGTTACTCACCTCAACACTTTGTATCTATATACTCTGAGGTTTATATCAATTAGCAACCATTTCTTTGGTTCAAGAAACTGGCTTTCTTGATATATATTTTATATAATGATTTAGAACTTTAAAGCAAACCTCTATCTTCTTATTAATCTACTTCTGATTTTTTATTCTTGAGATAAATCTGGCAGAGTCTGCAGTATTTCTACTTTTACTATATAATTTATAACCTGTATTTCAATTGGTATATATGAACTATAATCTATTACTAGTGGTTTAAGTTTTATCTATTTTGGGAGTATATAGTACTAGATCAAAATAGAGGCCTGCAAATTTCTAATTTTGTAGTCTGAGCCTGGTCTGCAATTAAAGTTAAAAATGTTTTATTAGCCTGGTCTGACTGCAATAATATTGTTTCTAACCCACTTGGATCATGTTTTTGATCTTAATTTTTTATTTCAAAAAAAAATTATAAATTAGCCAAAAGGAATAAAGAATTACTATAATATTAATAATATAGTTATATCAAACTTACATCAATATTCTTAGTCTATAAATTAATATTTACATCAAATTTATATTAATATCCTCAATCTCATAGAAAGTGCTAATGAAATTATTAAATTTCTTCTAAAAATAAATAAAACTCATATATGTAGAAAAGCAATTTATAAACATAATTAATTTTATTATTAAAGTATTATTATTATGTATAAATAATATAGTACAGTAGTATCGTAAAATAAAAGTTCTTATTATTTTTAAAAATAAATTAACAATAATAATACAATAATTTTTTTTTTTCTATCTTTGACAGTCTTGCAAGTGATCCTTTATTAAGATTATTGCATTATAGGTTGATACAATATTGAGCTTAATATCTAGGCCTGATATCCAGCAGTTACTTCGAGAGCACTTACAAGCGACCTGCCGCACCGGTGAAATTCCCCTAAGAGATATCAATATCCTGAGTCACATGACCTAGGCCAACCCAAAAAGGCCATGTCAGACCACCGCCCTATGATAGGATACTGCCAATCTGATGATATCTTCTCGTAGGGAAGTGAAAAGAAAAAAAATACTAACATTAATACTAATACTAAAAGGGAAAAGAAAAAGATGAAATACTAATACTAAAACAAAAACAGAGACGAAAAGTAGGGAAAAAAAAGAAAAAAGGAATCTAATAGCCACAATTATAGGCCTGTGGAGGACCTTAAAAATTACATATTACAAAATAAGAAAGCTCTGTATCTAACTATTAT